AAATATTCTTAAATTTACTGATGCTATTTTATGTACACACACATTGTATGCACATATATATTGTAAATTATAAGTGTATGCAGAAATCTACCCCGCTGGGCAAGCTGCCACTGTTGCTTCCTCATTGGACTAGACAATCTCAATCTCTGGGTGACTAGGCATGTGATCTTACACCAGCTAAGTTTATTTGGGTGACTTTCCAATCTTCCTCTCCTACCCTTTAAAAGCAACAGAGACAATGAGAAAAAAAATTACACCAGTTCGTGGTGCTGCTGGCTGGTGTGAAATAATCATTTTTTCCAATTACAGTACTTCTTCAGCTTACTAGCTTGTTCCAAGCTCCTAGCTGCATTTTGGTTATTTACTGCTAAACATCTAGTGAATAATTTGCTTTTTAAGAAACTCAGCAACTGCCCCTTTTATTAGATTAAGCACAAAACATCTTGGCCACAAAAACAAAACAAACAAAAAAATCCAGCTTTAACAAAACACTTTTCCCCACATGCTTCAACGGACCATAAAGTTTTTATGCAGACCTATGAAGTAGGTTCACCAGATAGTGCCTTTTCAAGATCAGTTGGTTCAGAAATAAGCAATCTCCAAATTTCCCTCCAGCTATTCAAATTCAGAGCTGCTTTGAATGACTACAAGCTTTAATCAGAGTACTTTGGGGTATATCTTTCCCTCTATAAGGTGATTTTAACTTCTTAAAATATCTAGAAGCCTTCTGAGGTAACTCGTCATCTTCCAGCCATCTCCTTTCCAGTGTCCCTTATCTCCTGGCATCAGACCAATACACTAGAGAGTTGTTTTGCTGTTCTCCACATAAGCACCCACACACAGCATCAAATTATCTGACCTCTAAAAGTTAAGTGCAAGTTTTATGGTCTATTTAATAGATTCATTCAACCAACAAACATTTTTTGAATACCAACCATGTGTCAGAGACTGTGTTAGGTCTTGGAAATACAAAGGGAAGTAAGAAATGATTCTTGCCTTTAGTGGTTTAGAAAGATGATTTCAAATTTCTTCACTGCTTATCTAAGGCAGCAGGTTTGACCATTGCTAGGGGGAGCTGGGAGCACGGGAAAACAGCTCACAGTATTTTTCAGTCATATTTTCTTTGTTTTGGGGAAACATAGGACTCTTCATTACCTTTCATTCACCTTATTATCTCCTTGTATTTTTTAAAAATTACTTTGCTTCTACTTAGAAGCCCTTTTTATCTCCTTTTCATCTCTCAAATCCCAGATCAAATGTTACCACTTGTGTATTTTTCCCTGACACCTTCAGTTTTATAATTGTCTCCTTGTTAAATGCATGTTACAGGTCTTAGCATATTGCACTATAGTTACACTAGCTAGTATGTGAAAAGAGCTTCAAAATTCCCTAGTTCATAATAAGCTCTCAATAAGTATGTATTTGAGAGAGGAAAAAGAAAGACAGGGAGATTTCTTGTTTATCACTTTTGCTAAACTCCAAGTTCCTGCAGGAAAAAGCCGGGTTCGGGGGTTTTTTATTTTAAATTTATACCACCATTTCTATCTTACTGTTCAGCAGAGTATACTTGTTTGTTGCATTGGTTTATTGAAAATTACAGAAAATAAAAAATACATCTTGATTCACATGTTACCCTTAAGAAGCTTATGGTATTCACCACTTCCTTGTTGGTAAGATAAAAATACACCCAGAGTAACTATACTTTCTCTAATATAATTCTTCAAGAATATTTAGGTGGAGAGCTTTTAAAAATAATGTTACCCCAAATGGCTACTTCCTTGAATCATAAATATGTATACTTCTCTGTTGTAAATTAAAGATAAAAAAATAATAATAACCTCTAAGGAAAACCTTCTACAAAGCCTTGCCGTGTACATGGTAGAGTATTTTGAAAATGTGCTTTGCCTATGGTTAGAGAAATGGAGATCTCTACATTTAAATATGCCATTATTATTTAACAGATAGGAAAAATTGCCACAGATAGTGATTGCTAGTAAATAAGATTCTTTATTAGCTCATTTAAAAAGATGGTTTCCAAATGCAAATAATTCACAGTACCTATTTATGGAAATAGCAGCAAGATTTCAGAAGCGATGAAATGTTTAAGGTGTTGATTGTTTTTGTGTAAGAAATCTGAATTAATATTTAAAGAATTGTATACCATATATCTACTTCAGCATTTGATATGTCTTCTTACCCTACTCTTTGTGAACACAGTCATTATTTCATGATAATATTTCATAAATATTTATATATTTTCAGAGAGAGTTTTTTTTAATCTCATTCTTTAAATGAAACACAGAAAACTTTAAAAAAAATAGCAGACCATGACAGCTGGGAAAAATTACAAATCCTTGCTGCAGAGATATTCTCTAAGGTGCGTTGGATTTGCTGATTTATACTTACTATTACCATAGCACCACCACTATGACCACTAATGTCAATAATAATGATAATAATGATAATTCCTCTTATTTGTATAAACTTGTACACATTATAAACCTTTCACTTACCTATTTTTGATCCTCACAACAATCATGAAATTTTTTCTAAGGAAAAAATTCAAAGGTAGCAAAGTATATGCAGAAAGATGTTCATCTCTATATTATATATAATGATGAAAAATCAAAATATAAATGCCAAACTTTGTCAGAATTGTTCAATAAATATGGTCAATATATATACTATATCATTAAAAATACACATACAAAGTCTATATATCAAAACAGAAAATTCTTGTGTTTTTCTATTAAGTGAAATCAAAAAGAATGTAAAATTATATTGGTACTCCTGGAAACATTTCTGTGTATTTATTTGAACAAAGCCCCCATGGTAACATGGTCAAATGTAAAGTTGGTCATAATGGCATAGCATAGCATTAAAGTGTTTGAATTATTTTAGATTTTCAGTAACATTGGTATTGTTCATTATACCATATACATGTTTAATATTTTAAAATAAAATTAAATCCATATACTTTTTTTTTTTTTGAGTCAAGATCTCTCTCTGTTGCCCTGGCTAGAGTGCAGTGTCATCAGCAAAGCTCACAGCAACCTCAAACTCCTGGGCTGAATTGATCTTCCTGCCTCAGCCTCTCGAGTAGCTGGGACTACAGGCCTGCACCACCACACCCAACTAATTTTTCTATTTTTAGTAGAGACAGGGTCTCGCTGTGTTGCTCAAGCTGATCTCAAACTCCTGACCTCAAGTGATCCTCCTACCTCGGCCTCCCAAAGTGCTAGGATTACAGGCGTGAGCCACCACCACACCGGCTAAATGCATATACTTATGATAATGATAAAATATCTGTCAAATGCATGTATTACATGAAACAATGCATCTCTTCAGGGAAAGACCTTTTACAAAAAAGTGGTTGTATGTTCCTTTTCAATAGAATATGATTCTCACCCTCCCTGCCCACCCCTGGTGTGTCTGGATCACCCGGGTGATTTCAAAGAACAGTATTGCCCAGGCTGTATGAGATGAGTTTTCAGCTGGTCTGAATTAGGGCCCAGGTATTGGTTTGTTTTTGTTTTTAATTTCTCCAGATAATTCTATTGTACAGCTTGGGTTGAGAACCACTAATACAATTATAAATAAATAAAGTTTTATATTTTCAAATATTAAATTCACTGGATTTTCATCTCTAGTATGAGACTTTCAAGAATAAGAGTACTATTTGGGTAAAAACTGGTGTGTTAGGTCTTGGAAATACAAAGGGAAGTAAG